GAATATAAAATTAAAAAAAAAATACCTGCAACTAACAATTGTCTACGAATAATGTTCTAACGATCAAAGCCGAACGAATACAAATATAAAATGGATAACATTACACAATGAAAAGTGAACAATATAGGAAAATGGGCAACAATAAAAGTGAAATAAAGAATACAATATTAACAAAGGAAAAACCCTAAAGTTTTGAAAAAAAAGAGTGTGTAAATAGTGTTATATATATATTTTTATAAGACAATTATTGTTTGTTTAATGTGTGTGTGTGTTTAAATATATTAATATGTAATTATTATTATTTACATGTCAAATATTGCGCGATTTAAAAAAAAAACAAATTTGTTTTTTTTAAGCGGCATATTTGACACGTCATAATCTCTAATAAGTATATCATTTAGAATAACTACAAACTACACATTTATCATATTTTCCTCATTTGTAATATTTCAATTTACATTTAAATTTTATATAATATATATATAGTTACCAAACGCTATAAGAAAAAAACAAAAAAAAAAAAAACATCTTTTTTTCTCTTGGCGTTTAACAGATCACACAGATTTAACGAATCGTTAAAACGGTAATTGTGCTATTAGGAATACATAATTAAAAAAAAAAAAAACATTAAAATAAACATATTGAATATTAATAATGATAGCAATATATTCAATTATTACATACATGAATATATCAATAATTATATATGGATACATACGCGTATCATATTAACATTTATTTATCATTATGCATATATTAATGTGAAGGGAAACAAAAGAAAACTAAAAAGATCTCCATCGTGAATTACAATTAACGTACGAAAAAAGTGATGAAGATCATAAACAAAACAAATAGCTTTTAACATTTTTCTTTGACTACCGCAATTAAATACGCACGTATCTTCAGATACTATTGAATTCGTCGTTACCTTCTTTGGTTAAACCTAAAGCATGTTTGCAAACGTTTCCGAATTTGTACGGTACGAATGCATTCATTGATTATTTTGTAGATTTTTTTTTTGTTGTTCTTTATATAAATATATGAATCTTGGACATTTATTAACTTTTTTTTTTACAAAATCTTAAACCTGGATAAAAGGTCAGGTCGGATAATTTCTAATTTTCGAGATTACGAAAATTACACTTTTTTTTTTAATTTCTTGGGTTTATTATGCAGTTCATCCGACAGTTTTGGTCTTTTATTTGAACTGTGGATGGAGATACACAGGATTCTCTTCTTAATTTTCTGCTTCTTCGCATGTTCTAAGCGAGTCTAACTTTTGTTGTGTGTAACATTTGGGCGTTGTTTAACATATGTACGCTGTTACAAGTACTTTACTTATTATCATTAGTTCTTTTCCTCATCCTCTCATTACACTTTATACAGTGGGGGGGGGGGTTTGTGTGGTTGCGTGCGTACTTCCACACTAGTATTAATATATTCATCATTATTATTATTACCTTTTTTTTGTGTGTAAGTTATTTTATTTACTTTATTTAAGAATCACAGATATATTTCATTATTTTTCCCTTAGTATATTATATAGATTGCAACGAACCACTAGGAAACAAACACAGGATGGAAACAATTATATGTATATATAATAAAGAATATAAAATTAAAAAATAATATACACATTGTTGCGTGCTCGACACTTCACATTGCGTTTGGAATGAAGTTGATTTTACAACGAATTTTCAGTATTCGAGCACGGAGAACTCTCATTTTTCTCTCTCTCTCTTTCTCTCATCATTGGCAACGTTACGTTCGTTTGAGCCTACTACCATTAAAAATTAATATTAACACAGAAAACAGTTCTTTTTTTTGTTATTATATTTGTTTCTCATTTAATACTCTCTTGGACTAGGTATTGCGCTTCACGATGAGGCGAAAACAATCTTATCGTTTTGATATTAAAACGAAGCTCGTTTTCCCATTTTCTAGTAGTCACTTAGTATTAGTATTATCATTTTTTTACACAACGCTTGTTCGTTAGTTTCTTATTTGTTTTTTTTTTAATTGGCTTCAGGTACTAGATGTTATCATTTCTATTTACACACGAGGTTTGCTTCTTTATTCTTCTCTATACAACTTATATAATTGCTCGCTCGTCTTCTTCAATCGCGTATTTTGTTTTTGCAACTGTGACTGGTTTCTTTTTATTCCTACAGTGATTTACTTCAATTATCCTTGAAGAAGGAACATAGGGCTGGGAAACTAAATTCATTACTTTTATCATCTTATCTTTGATTTGTTGATCTCTCGTAAAACAAAACGTAAAGCTACAGCAAACAAAACATATATACAAGTAAATAAAAGAATTGCCAAGCAACGCTTGAAAATACGTCTTGTATTAGAAAGAAAGGTTTTTCTTCTATATATTGTATTGAAAGAAAATTACCAATGAAGATACTAGTAGACAAAACCAAAATTTGAGCAACGCACTTTTTCTTCCTGCTGTTTCTCAGAGAATGTTTCATCTTTTTATTATTATAAACATATATCATCATGTAATATAAATACGTTTCAACAAACACATTTTGACAATACATTGACTGCGCACCGCACATTTGATGATGTAACATTAAAAAAAAAAAGAAGGAAAACATGTTTTGTTTTTTGTTTGTTATGTATTTAAAAAACTTGACGCAAATTGGGAAAACCGTTCTATTAAAAAACAAAACATTCATCAACGCTATTTCTCTCTAAAATGTAAGACACTTTTTTGAACATTGTATAAATTTGATGGACTTTAATATATATATACACATGTTTTTAGAAGATTTGCAACGAATCACTCGTTTGCTCACAAAAAATATATTCATACAAAATATTCTGTAAAAGAAACTTTGATTTTAGAATTAGAAATGTTTTGAAGAACTTTCGGTTCTTTTTTGTTGTTTCAAATCAAGAAATAATTGTCGAAAACTATTTCTTTACTTCGACTTCGCCAAGTTTTCTAAATTTACAACTCCTATAATATTTATTTTTTTTTACTAATATCGTTCGTCTAAGATCTTATTTTTTATCAGAAATAACGCAAAATTTTGCTTCACTTGCGCTTTTAAATTTATATAAAATTATATTACAACTATAATACATTTTTCCTTTGTTTCGTCTATTCCAAAATAAAAAAAAATGAATATTCAAATTATAAAATTCGTCTAGCAATTGTTTGTTGCATCTTATAGTTTCTTATAGTTAAGAAGATAGTTGTTTGTTGCTTTAATTCTTTGGAATGTTGTTACAATCATTAACTTAAATATTGCGAATGACTAGAGGCGTAGTCGACAATTAACAACACGTAAATTCAATAGGATTTTCAACTTCTGCTTAACTTTTTTCTTTTGCAAAACGAAGGTTACAGATGAAAAGAGTTTCACGTTGAAGCAATCATGATGATTTTTCCATTCGACGAAAGCTTCAAGCGTAATTTTTAACAACTTCTCCTGTAGATCCTCAATCTTTGACTGCGACCTTACACAAACATGCAACAAACAATTCGTGACATGTAATTTTTTTTGTCGGTTTCTTTTTTCATACCGGGCCTCTCCGTAAACTTTTTAATTAAAAGTAATGAAAATTAAATAAAAAAAGAAAGAAATGCATCTTCGTTTTAGTTTCATTAAAAAATATCATTGGAATTCATTATTATGTTCTTTTTTTTTCATTTCTCTCTCTCTCTCTCTTTATATATATATATCTTTTTAAATTTATTAAACAAATGCATTTGGTTGTTAAGCCGCAGACGTAAATGGAAGTCTGCCGGATTCAATATATTTTTTTCTTCTTCATTTAATAACTTGTGTGTATATAGGCTAAACTCTATATATTATACATCTTTTATATATAGTTTTTGTCATTAAATATATTATATATATATGCTTTTTTTTTTGTTTGTTTGTTTGTTTTGGATTACCTTTTGTTATATATGATTGTTAACAACTAGATCTTTTCGTCGTGTTCGTTTTCAATTTTGCCAACGAGATATTCGTTTCTTTCATTTTCATATTTTATATACACAGTTCTTCTTCGTAAAATTCGCCAACCGATCTCGCAAGGATCAGGCGCAACAATAAAATATATTTCATTTACACGCATTTTACCTTTCCTATTATTTAGTATTCTTTCTCTTTGTGCAGGTACTTTGGTTTTTTTATTAAGTTGGCTAACTTATATGTTAACAATCGTTGCAATATCACAGATGTTTCGCTTCTTATCGCTACTACTTTATACACGCATACATTTAATATCTTTCCATCAAGAAAACAGCCCGAGAAAAGAAATCATAAAATTAAACCCGTTTGTTGGTATTTTTTTTGTAAATTTATGGGAAAAAAAAATAAAAGAAAATTAAGCTCAGGGATCTCCACGATCATATTAATAACAAATAAACGGAATTTGATGTCTTCTGTCAAACTGTCAAATTTAAACTAATTAAAAAAAAATATAACAAACTAATGTTTCAAACAAAACTAGTCAATAACGAAATACGAAATAAAATTAAATTACATGGCCCACTGAGTCCCTCTCGCTTTTCTTTTAATTTTCTTGTTCTCTCTTTTTTTTTTTCATGTTAATTGATTGAATCGCGTCAGGTGTGTCCGAATTCATGATTTCTTTTCGCCCTATCATTTATTTCTCCCCTCTCTTGTGGTTAACGTAATCGCATTTGGTCGCCTTTTTAATAGATTGCATCCCGTTCGCAAAATCTTTTTCTATCACAAAACACTAATAAATATATCATTTTCTTCCTCTACAAATCACATATACATCTCGCTCGCGAAATATTTGTTCTCTACGATTTCTCTCTCTCCTCTCTTCCGTTCGTTATTTTCTTTACTTTTTGTATATTTCATTTATATTTTTGTCGTGTGTGCAAAAAGGCAAATCATAATTCAAGAACTTAAAATAACAACTGAAATCACAACCGCTGCTCATTTTTTTTCTCTTCCTGCCATATAAATATTTATATATGTAAAAAAAATAAATATATAAAAATATATTTCCAAAAGAGGCGAGTCCAGTCGTCGCTCGCATTTTCCTCGGAAAAAAAAAACTTAAAAGTTAACGTTACCAAATTAATAATAATATTATGTATATAAATATATAAATATAGATGACTTATAGCTTATATAGTGTGGCGGAATTTCATGCTGTTGAATGTTCATTGCGACTTTCTCTATCAAAGAATGAAATTAATTAATAATAAAATAATATAAAATCATTCGTTTTTGTTGTTATTGTTTTTTTTGGTTGGTGTGGGTGAGTTTGTTTTTGTTTTGAATTGACCTTTACTGCAGATCTGCCAACAGAATTGGCAATAAGTACTCATCTGAATCAGCGGAAGAGTTGTCCAAGAAGACGGGATGCAGGTCGTATCTGTTGAGGATTTTGCAGCTTTTACCCAATATTAGAGGAAGTTCCTGTAAACCATGAAACATACAAATTATTTTATTGAAATACAAATATTTAAAACTAAAATTTCAAACAAAAATTATATGATTTACTTACAATAAAAATGTTGAAGTTCAAGTCTGAGTCCAGAATGTCTGTGCTTGAGATTTCCAACTTTTTGAGCGTATTGCTGCGTAGCTTGGCAACGCCAATCCAATCCTGATCGAAGAATTTGTAACCTGCATTGAAAAATGCGACAATTAATTTATATTAACTTAAATATAAATTTGCTGCGCTTACCGATGATCCTCATCTCCTCTAGTTTATTGCATAACCACGCAAGCATAATGATGTTTGGTGGTGTGTCCGACTGAATGAGGTTGTATCTGGAGTCCATATCGACGCAATCCACCCACGACAAACTTACAAAAGTGTCCTTGTACATCAAGAGTTTCTCCAATACTATGATATTCAACTTTAAGCATAAGAAAAAAAAAATACATTATAATTTCGTTCAGTTGCATTGTAACTGTACTTACTCCTTCGCAGAACAGGACCCTGAGATGACTTAAAGGCATGTTGTCTCTGAGGATGGTGTTGTGCATGACAGCGACTTCGTCGAAAGCGTGAATCAGGCTGAGTCTCAGCCGACAGTCGGGATGTTGTTCTTTAAAATTCTTCCAGGCATTCTCGCTTGTACCAGGATGTCCGTCCCAGACGCCGTGAACGTGCACAACCAGCCTGTTCAGGTTGCGGCAATTTTTTAAACCATCCAAAAACAAGTCCGTTAAAACATCATAATCTACACTTAAAATCTGCAAAAACATCGTAATTAGTAAAAGAGTCATAACGTTCGTCAAGTGGATCCATTACTTCTAGGTTTTGGAATGGAGTGATCAGCTGCGGATCGTAATAGTTCAAAAGGTAATTGCTCGGGTCATCTTTGACGGTGGCCAAACCTAGTGTTGTTATCTTATCGGGCTTGACGTTAGCGAGATGATGCAGGATATCGATGACTTTCTGCTGAAGTTGCTCCAAACAGCCGAACGAGAGTCGCGTCATCGACTTCTCCTCTGTTATTTTCATGAAGAGTTCGATCAACTGTTGCTCAGTCTCCTGCCACTTCGTCTCATCCGGATGCAAGACGTGACAATGGCTGGGTTTCAGCATAAGGGACTGAAGCTGATTGCTGAAGGTGAAGCATTCGAGAAGAGCCAGGAACTCTTCGATGCAGTCCTTCGACATCGAGCCGAAGACGACAGTGGCATCGGTGACCATATGGCCGACCATGTTGCGAAGGTACCGCGATCGCTGCAAACTCTTCTCGCTGATCTCAAATCTGACGTGCTGCCATAATCTGGAACACATCGTAAACATATGAATGACGACAGCCCTACGTCAAACGAAGGCGGCGCCGGAGCAATGGTTGCCTTGACTACGACCTTTACCTTGGATGATAGAGACCGTGTCTCCAGTTGCGGCACGCACTGGATGCGCTCTTGACATCGTTAAATTTGAGGTATTTAAAGACGTTGTCCACGACTGCAGCTGGGAGCATCTCCCAATTGCCCTTCGTAGATGATGATTTCGTAATGTGGCATCGCAACTTCTTCTTGCTTTCCTGTTTGCTCTTCTTAGCTCGTGGATACTCATCCAAATTACTTAAACTCCATTGATCCATTGCTAAAAGAAAAACAAAAATATTTGCATTTTATAATTTTATAATCAGGAAGGAAAGGAAAAATAGTTTTATTGGACACTGTACAATATGGTAAAGTTGAAGTGTTTGCAACAAATAAACGATATTATTAAGAACTTCTTCAACTAACTTCTAATTACTAATACTTATCATTGTGAGGATTATCTTAAGTATGATTTCAACAACTAAGACTAATGAATCATGGCTTACCAACTAGAACTCTGACACTAACTCAGGCAATAAACATAAACGTCCTATTTTATAGTAAAATGAAAACTAGTTCTATCCCAAAATATTAATGAGTTGAATGTACATGTTTGTACTAATTATCAAATTGACTTGTAGATACTTTCTAAAAAAAATAATCAAATATACTTAAGAAAAATAAGTAGGATTAACAACTTTGTACATTTCCGCTTGGAAATATTACACGACTAATCAATAGCACTATCTCCCTCTTACCAAACATTCTACTCCCACTATGTTAGTTTTCGACTATAAAATAGGATGTTTATGTAATACAAAATTAGTCTTAGAAGGGAGAACAATAAATATCTACAGTCGTTCAAGATAATCCAGTGTCCATCCCATTTCGTCTTGCAATAAAAAGAAACATATTAACCGTTTAAATATACAAAAAAAAAAGAGTTGGGATTCTTTGTTTGTTTATTGATTCGTTCAGTTTATTGATAACAAGAATGCTTTAGTATATATTTTTCTCTTATATCGCATACTTTATACAATCACAAAACACTATCGAAAATTATTTCGCCCCGTTTGCATACTAAATGAAGGAAACAAACAGGAAACCGATTCGACACCAATCAGCGGAAATGGCTTTTTATTTATTTGTATTGTTGTTGTTGATGATCAATGTAAACGTTGTTTCTTTTAGTTTCCATAACTTTCAGACTAATTGGCCTACGTTAATTACCAAGTAGACAACAGCGACGACGTTCTTAATTGCAGCAAACAACTTCTTTTTTTCGTTCAAAATTGCAATTCGTTAATGTAAACACGATTCCTCAATTACGTTGCGCAATACTGTTCTTTTTTTCCTCTCACTTTAATTATCGGATATTTAAGTTTCGTTAATAGATTTCAACAATAACAATAAGTAAAACAAATATACAATAAACTGTCAAGTCAATTAGCATTGCAATCTAAACATATGTATTTTTATTTCTTTGATAAATTCAAGTAAAATATTGTTGAATAAAATCATCGGTCAACAGAATTCGAAAATAAATGGTGCAATAACGAATGCATCGCATGATGATGCATGAGGCTCATATCCTGGCGCACACAAAAACTTTCCAAAGTAGTTAACGTCGTGCGCATTTGAATATTTGAAATGAGCTTCGTTCCAATATGCGGCAACAGCATTCGGCAAGAGTGAAATAAAGCTACTAGGTCGATGTATGTATCTATGCAGTAATACTCATTATTGTTGGGCATCTTTTAATGAAGAAATATGATGACGGCTTATCATAAGATAATACAGAAAGAGCTAGTCTAAAAATAAATTTTACTTATTGAAAAATTCTAGTAGATGATGAAGAAATGTCAAGTTACTTCTGCTGTTGATAATTATCATTGATTTAGAAATTGAAAATTTTGTATTTTCAATATTTGTTATTGAAGCAACATTTACAGTTCAATCTTAGTTTAACCTTAACATTGACTAAGTCTGTTCTATGTTTATTAAATACATCCTCGTTATCCGATCCTTTGCATGAGCACTTTATTGTGCATCTATCAAAGTTATTATAACTTCAATAACAACAGCAAAATAAACAAATCATCTGACCCGTACACAAACAATAATAAAAAAAAACAAATATAATTTAAGGCAGAAACAAAAATAAACGTCAGCCGATAAATAAATACGGACGGGCATAAACAAACAAATTATCTTGGTTTTGTCAATATCGCGAACTGTTTGAAATCGAGGCACCAAAAAAAAAGAGACTTAACTGTGTAAATAACAAAACTTGTGTACTATTGTTTTGAAATGTTCAAACCGGACTAAAATGAATCCGAACTGATCGAAACCGCACTATCCGAGTTATTACTGTATTGTTTAGACGCAAATAAGAATAATGCATACTTTTACGTAACTGAAGAAAAATCGAAATATTTTCATTACAATTCGCATTGCGACAAGTGTATATTCCAGAATAATATTGTACAACGCACGAAGTACAACAAATTTAAAAAATAATAATTCCTTTATCTAATCAGAGTGCAATTTGTAATTTTATCCCTCATTTATTTGGCGTTAAATTTAATTCAGTTTATTGAATCTAGTTTTCTATATGAAACTCTTCCTCGAATCCTTCTAAATCGAGCGGACGAATTATTGATTTCGATGGACAAAGAAAGAGAGAGACCTGTTGCGGCTGATTCGTGCGTCCCATATAATAATAATCATTTTTATTCGACATCACATCTCACGTCGCATTCCAATTTTTGCATATGCGTTTAAATTATGAATGGATATGAATTTATTGCAATGCTCGATAACAAAATGAAATATTTCATTCAGTTCTTGCAATATTATATAAAAAAACATCTTCCATTACATTTATCAATGTTGGAAAATGTAATTCCAAATGTCCATTGCGAGCAATATAATTTGAATAAAAATACAATGGAACCTCGCTTAACGAGTTTAATCCGTTCCAAAATTTACGGATTTTTACTCGTATAGTGAAACATATTCAAAAATACACATAAAACGTGTAATCCGGGACTTCTCTTCTGATCGTCACTCGTTATGCGAAACATCGCTCGTTAAGCGAGTCGTTTTTCTTACAATTCTTAATTTGGCCGTTAAGCGAGGTTCCACTGTACGCAAAAACCATACAATTCGAAATATATTAATTTAGTTTTAGAGTATTCATTTGGGTTCACATAAGGAATGTTAATATAACAAAAATATGATTAGCGAGGAATGCAAATTCGAAAGAATTGAAACAATACAACCATTGTTCCGATTCTTTCGAATAAAACACATACAAATTGTAAATAGTGAAATGGTGTATTCCAAAAATAAAAACTTATAAATATTATTCCAACAATTACAAGCGTGATGATGAACACAATGAGAACTAGTTTCGTTTCGCATCGAATGTTAACATTTGTTTTTAATATAATGTAGTTAAAACTTAATTAAAAGCACTATTTAAATGCGTAGTTGGAAATTTTGTTTATTTAACTCGTTAAATAATACGTTATATATTGACTAAATAGTCACTACTGTTTTATATTGAGCACTTCCAGGATACAACGGTTAACGATGGCAGGAAGTTTAAATATTTAATTCCAATATTAGTGTTAATACGCTTAAGAATAATGAAAAACTTTCATAATTCTTTTCAATCCGCAACTAAAATTTTTGGTATAAAATTGCCGGAGAGGAACCGATGAAAGTACATGTAATTATTCCACTTTCACGAAACTCCTTCACGCGCCGCAACAATGATTGTGACCTGTGTCGAACTTTTCGATAGCAATAATGTACTTTTTATTGTTAAACAAAATAATTAGGTTACAGAATATTCATTTTCAATAAGAAAAGTTTGTCGTGGCCGACCAATTTATTGTCATCAATTGTATAACTAATATGTATATTTGTTAGGGCCATGACTTTCCTCTTAATTATTACAAATCATATATACAAACAAATACTTGTACGTGATTATTTAGAATAACTTGTGGAATATTCCGAACGACGGTTACACATTAAATCGTATAGTTGCGTCTCTTGTATCACCACTTAACAGCCTTCTTCAGCCCCTAAATATTTGTCTAGGATCATAAAACTTAGATAAAGAAACGCTTGTATATTCCACAAGCTCAAAACTGATTTCCTTACCTCCCACACAGCCCCTTTTTGAAATGAACACATTTTTGTATTATATAATTTAGTCTTAGCTAAGGGTGGCTAAGGGGTCGAACTTAGTGCAAGTCTTAGTAAGAGGGTCCAACGAAGAACATGGTCTTACTTGGAGAGTCCAAGAAAGAGCATTTACTTCATAAACACTAACTTAAGAGGAGAATGTAACTCTTAGTAATAATCCCTGAGATCAACTATTGTATAGTTGACTTCTCAATAAAACTCCGATGTATACAATAAAGTTAATTAAGAATATTGCATTTAATATTCATAAACCCCTCTAAGACTCCGCAACGACATAATTACGAGATAATCCACTGTGTCCAAGGATTTCTTAATCCCGGGACACGACAAGTTAACTATAAATGTTGACACTTTTATTTCTATTCTCAAAGCTACGAATGGGCTAAAACAATCGTTCAAAATTCACAAGAAAAAGAAAAAAAGGTTATTATAAATCAAAATAACAATATAATTTGATACAATTGTAGCAACGATTTTTGAGAAAATGCAACAGAAATGCATTCACAATCATTTTACGTTCTAAAATGCAAATAATGATGGAATCTGCTGACAGATATTCAAAATAATGTATTGCAGTGATAATATTTGAGAAACACGAAATTAATTTGTGCAATCTGGACGGACAATTAAATTTTCTAGTAGTTTCTACTTTCGTGTCGATATCAGTTTCTTATGCGTAATAGAAATATGCTAACTGAAAACGTTTGTAAAATTGGAAATTTTCAGTGACAAATGCTCTGAAAAATCGATTCACTTTCTTTCCTTATACTTCACTTTCATAACATTGCGCTAAATTCCGCAACTAGCATAGACGTAATACAAATTACGCTCTGCTTATTCCGCTTATTACGCGAAACGACGTAACAACACCAAATAACCGTAATTTATTGACGATTCAAGTTTGAAATCGCAGCAACGAAATGAATGACAAAAAAAAAAAAATAAAAATAATGAGAGATCTATTTAAATGTGTGCCATGACGAGCAATTGTTTTGTTATTCATTTCAGTTATTTTCAGCGCACTTTTTTTTTGTTACCTGTCATTTCTACACAGAACGAAAAATAAAAAGTGTACAACTCTCACACCGATTTTTTTCTATTGTTAAAAATTGTACTTTTGAAATTTTATGATATTGTTCGTAGAAGAAATTGAATAGTTCTTTTGTATTGGAAAGACGCGCAAGTGTGAGGGGTGTGCGGAAAATCGTTAGGACTTACCTGTCTTATCATTGTTTCTGTGGTGATTTGCCGGATGCAACATTAAAGCTTCCGTTTTTTCGCAGTCGCAAAAAAAAATATGTATAGAGATATAAAGTTAATGTAACAGTTGATCAGTTTTCAGGGGGGTTGAAAACTGTTCAAAGACTTGGGAACATAAAAAAAACAATATTGATACTCTCGGGCGTCTGTGTCTATGTGCGTGATCGCGTTTCTACCAGTATTTACAATGCGTTTCTCCTTTGGGTATCTTTTATTTCGAAACGATCGTCTCACTCTTCTCACATATGTTTTTCGACAATGACTGACTGACAACCGAATGACTTTTTCTGCACTACCTGCATTCGAGCAAAAATATCGACTGGCAACATCGCTCGACCACCAGCTCGACCCTGTTGCCAACCTGCCTGTATACATATATTAAACATCGTTGCCGGATCTTCCTTACATACCCGACATATCTGCTAATATGAGTTTTGATTTTCTTGAGTTTTCACTTTTACCAATATTAAAAAATAACAAACTCATAAGACATACGCAACTACAATGCTTATGTTGTGTCTATCTGAGAAGTTAATTTGTATCATGTTACAAATTAACGAAAAAAAAGAATTAGTATTGTGTACCCACCTTTAGACATCAGATTTTCAAATAGATTTTTAAAATTCTCGAGTACTGACAAAGTTATATTGAATATTATTTATTAATGCTTAAACAATAGTAAATGTAATGAATATCTAATGTAATCTCAAAATTGAGACAATTGAGACTAAATAACTACATTTAATATATGTGTGTGATTGTGGCATGTACACATAGACCATGTAAATCAAATTTATGCAAAATTTGAAAGTTTGGCGCAAAACTTCGAAGACAAATACGTTCTATGTGATTTTAGTTTATAAGTATAAAAGATATATGAAACTATATCATTGATTCTTGTCTTATTGAACTAGGATCAAATTTATTTTCTTAATCTCGATCTTTGTTTACATTTCCTCATCATTTGCGGAGGAGTTTTCATACCTTTATAAAAAAAAAGTGCTTTATTTTCATTATTTGTTCACTCAGGTGTTCACGTTATTAGCTTTATCCTCGCATATATATATATATATATATATATATATCAGATTGACTCCATAAATCAATAAACTCGAAGGAATATGAATTTACGTTGAATCACGCTATTGGCAATTTATAATATAGAAACTAATTATATCGATTTATATAATAGTAAAAATATGCGAGATATCTTACTCTAAAAAAATGTTTAAATCGTAATTCAACTATAACGAACCTTAGTTTAAGTTTAAAATAGGGAATCTTTAAAGGCGTTTATATAAAATATAATAAATGAGAAGTAAAATAGCAAAGTTTATCCAGCGATTATGAATTGGAATATAGGCAACTTAATATGCTTTAACAGTTTCAACTCTCATTCAACTGTACTTACAAAGAGTAACAATATAGTCGCTTAACGAGATTAATCCGTTCCAAAATTTTCTGATTTATACTCGTATAGTGAAACACGTTTTCCCATGTATACTAATGTAAATTACGATAATGCGTTCCATGGCACAAAAAGTCTAACTTGGTCTCAATTTTTCATGATTTTGCTTTTCATATATATGATTCTTTTTATTCTTTGGTTTTTTATTCGGAGACATGCAAGTGTTATTAAATTTTGTACAAAAAAAAAATAACATGTCTGAACACAAGTTTGGAAATTTTGTGATCACAAACAACACTAAGATGCAACTAGAACAGCGGTCGGGGAATCGGGGTAAATTACCCCAAATTGGGTAAAAATGATTTTTTTTTGGGTAATAGGGAAATTTTTCTAATTTCATCTTACCAAACTCAGAGAGCGCTTCTCTGACTACTTTCCAGAACTTGATGTACAAACTGTAAATTGGTTTGTAGATCCTTTTAAATGTGAAATTTCTAACATACCAGAAGAACCAATACTCCATATACTGAAGCACGTATTCAATTTGAGACCAAAGCAAATCTGTCGTCTTTTTGGTTGTCAAAGGCTACAAAGGCATTCAAAATTGCACATGAGGAGGCGGTAAAAAAATTGCTGCCATTTGCAACAACCCACCTTTGTGAACAACGCTTTTCCACTCTAATGAACATAAAAACGAAAAACAGAAATGGATTAAACGCCGAAGACTGTATTCCAATTTTGAAGTAATTATATCAAACAAGAAGCAACATAATTTTTCCAAAACCTGAAGGGGGAAAGTTTTCAATTAATTTTTGTTTGTTCCAATTTAAGAATTTTATTTTGTTTGTCTATTACATACTTACTATTTTCATGTAACTTTTTTTTTAATTCAATAAATAATGTTTATTTAAAATTTACAATGATTGTTTTCTTTTCAGAATGGGGGGGGGGGTTAATATCGACTTACGCAAAAATATTTTGAGGTAATGCTTAAAAAAGTTCCCCGACCGCTGAACTAGAGTAACCACTAATACCAGAAACTGTTTTCCAATTCACACACGGTGAAGTGAGTTTATATTTGTTTATATTACTTGCATCGATTCGGAGACTTGGTGGAGGTCTCTTTATAGTATTAATATTTGTTTATATAAAAAAGCGTACATAGTGTGTTTATAAATTATAATAATGGTTGGATGCAATACATTTGTGTTTTGCATTTACAGCAAACACAAATTATATTTGCAAAGTATAGTCTGCTTTAAACAAAGATGACAAGAAAAATTGAAGATGTTTAATATATTCAAAAATACACATAATATGTGTACACAAGTTTTAAAAATGATGGAGCGTGCATTCCGGGACTTCTATACGCTATGCTAGGTGCTCGTTTAGCTAGGTTCCACTGTACATAAAATGTTTATCATTACGTACGAAATGTAAAATAGTGGATTGTAGGTGAAAGGTTATACATGATAATTGAGTACAGTTGCAATTATTCCAATATTTTAACTCAAGCTCAAACATGTCCAAGAAGTAAGTTTACTATATTTGAGTAATTATAACACTAATTATTACTGTAGGAATTATAAGTATACCCTTAACGAAGGATTCACCGTAGAACAAAGGAATTTCTACGAGGAGAATGGCTATATAGTGTTTAAGAAGTTAATTCCTGAAAAGGACATCGATATTTGCCATCAGAGGTTTCTAGACGTGTGCGATAGAAAAGTACATATTCCAACTATAGTGAACGCGAAAAAATTACGACCAAATGGCGAAACTAGATCGGAATTTACAATCTATAAGGTATGAATTTCCGATAGAGAATCCTAAATTTTGACTTTACACCAATATATCTTTATTATGTTAATTGTGCTTCTGATAAAATTTATAAAAATCAAGAAATTAATAAACTTTCAATTTAGCTACAAAAACTACTGCATTTTTTTACATGTCTTTTAGATACAAGAAATAATATTCGACGAAATGTTTTACAAACATTACGCTGGGCATCCTAAGATCGTCGAAGTTATCAAGATGATAATTGGACCGAATGTGACGGCAGTCCATTCGATGTTGATCAACAAACCGCCCGATGTGATTGAGACAATTTCAGCACATCCGATACATCAAGTTATATAAATAATAATAGTTAATGTAGTATATATTAACTCCTTGAAAACTGTTACAGGATTTACATTACTTTCCATTTAGACCTGCTAATAACATAGCTGCTTCGTGGACTGCAATGGAAGATGTTACAGAAAAGAACGGGTGTCTCTTTGTTTTACCCGGATCGCACAAAGGTCCATTGTTTTCACATATCGAAGTAAGAAAATATTAGAGCAAAAAAAAATACATGACTACTGTTTTTTTTTAGTCTATAAATAAAAAGTTATACCACGGCGTGTTTGGCTTCAATGATGTTCCGATGGTAATGTTACCAATGGAAAAAGGCGACACTATATTTTTCCATCCGCTTTTGCTCCATGGATCTGGACCTAATATCACACAAGTATAAATAAATATTATAACAATAATATTGTTTAAACATGGACATTTGCAGGGTTTCAGGAAAGCTATTTCTGTGCACTACGCTGACAGCAAGTGCAAGTTTATAAATGTTATCGGTTTGCGAGGCAAACAGAAGATGTGGCTGAGAAGATTTTCAAACAGAAAGTTGATTATCCTGTAAGTGTTTAATTGTTTCTTCATTCACATATATGTGTTGGCCCTAATTTCGGCCTATCAACCAAATAATACTTTTATTTTTAGACTGTTTGGAAAATGAAAAGTCGTTTGATTTGCGGCGAACCAGGCGCTTTTCAACAAGTCAATAGCCACTTATAAACATGAGATTCGATTGTCGGTCGTCGACGGTGACAGACGTGTTAGTCTTTGAATCTACCTAAGGCGACTTTAGTAGTGTCGAGCGAAGTGTATTGTAGTATAGATTTATTTTAGTGATAGTTATTTAGTTTAAGTAGTGTAATTTAGTTTAAGTTTAGTTTAGTTAAGAATCTGGGATTTAGTTTTTTTTTAGAGTAAGTTTTTTCTTTTTTGTACTTTTTTTTGGGGGGGGGGGTCAGTAAGACGATGGTAGTAGATACAGAGGGGAAGACCCTGGAATCTCTTGCAGACATAATTGCTCTGCTGAGCAATCAAGTTATAAAAACGAAGGACTTAAGTTTTATAGATAAGATAGAGAACATAAAAACGAGTATATCCCCGAGCTTATCTCTATAGTATGCGAAGGAGTCTTCGAAGACAAAAGCACTAAAGTGAATATTTCGAAGGAACTTAAAGACGCCTTAATAAAGTTAATTAAAAAAATCAAACTCCCCTAACGCTTTTTTCCCTCAATGATACAGCCCCTTTCGTGGTCCAATTGGAACCCGCTATATCCAGTGTATCCCTACGCTCTCTACGCTCTCTCTACGCTCAGGTGGGTAGGACGATAGACAAATACAAAATTAAACAAGTAACAAAGACTTTTGCGGCAGTTTAAGCAGGGAATCAAAGCCCTCGAAGGTCTGGAGAAAGATTAGGGCATTCAAGGGATTCACGAATAGTCTGGGTGGAGTGTCATCTTTTAACTCAGAGTGGACTGAGGAGTTTCTGTGCAACCTGGCTCCAGATTATGTTCAATCGCTTCAGAGCGTGACCCCTCAGAGGGTATTGTTTCATATTACTATCTGGTGGACAACATATCACTTGCAGAATTGGAGCCAGTGCTTATGAAAGCTAGAGACACGGCGCGGTGGGTGCGGATTACATTTCGTACCCAATGATCAGGGCACTCCCCCTAAGTTATAAGAATATTTTAATAATTTATTACAACAAATTTTTAAATGGTGTTGCCATCCCAAGTGTTTGGAAGGAAATTACGATTCGTCCTATTTTAAAGCCAGGAGCACCAAGCTCCCTATCGGCCAGTTAGCCTTGAAAAAAACATTTGAGTCGATAATAAAAAACAGAATGGAAAAATGGTGTGAAGAATTCCACCAATTACCGGGCTTTCGAAGAGGTCGTGGGGCTCAGGATAATATAGCAACGATACT